ATATGTATAGTATATAATACTATACGTAATATTATTTTAACTATAAAAATATGAAAACTGTAATTGTTATGACATTGGCAACATTGAATTGTAATTTGTATTTATGTTAACCTCACTTTTGTTATGATCTATTAATTCATTATGTTCTGTTCGCAAGTATGCAAGTTTTTATTATACAATGATGAAATAAAAGAAATACTTTTTTAACAAGATAAATAATTAAGTTTTGGCATTACCTCACGATATTTCAAATGGCGACGAAAATATAAAACGTATAAGAAGCGTTCAAACACAAATCGTCAATCTAATTAAAGGCTGTAACGAACAAGACTCCGAAAGCAGACGATCGTCGAGGTGACGTACCACGTGCAGTAAAAATTAAAAAGGTAGTTCAAGGTGAACATAACCAAAAAATGACGGATGTGATCGAATCATTGGTGGAGTTCCAAATGGATGGAGAGTGGTCAATTTATCAAGAAAGAATGGAACTATTTTTATCAGTTAACACAATACCGGATTAACGCAATGTACCGTTATTAATTACATGTATTGGGGAAAAAACTTACAAGACACTTGTGTGACCCCATAATACTATCCGAAAGACCATATAAAGAATTATGTGCTGTATTAGATAATTTATGACAAAATTCAAGTGAAAATGTGTAGGATTGGTATGCAAGAATAAAACATTCAGCAACAACATGTAAATTTGGACAAGGAATAATTGATGTTCTTAGAGATAAGTTTATAACGGGTATGAAAAATCGGCACTATATAGACCGTTTATGCGAAGAAGATATATCTAAAGAGCTAAACAAAATTATAGAATTAGCAATGCACAAAGAAGTAACTATAAAACCAAATATTCCAATGGAAGTGCACAAAATTAAAATATGAAACGGATCAAAGGATGTCAAGAAAAAAGTTGGAGCACCAAAAGATGGGTGGTAAATCCAGTTGGAGGAGTTATGGTACATATGGTGTATAAGAATAAGAAACAACAATGTAATTTACTAATAGTAGAACATGGATGTATACTTCGGCCGAAATAAGAACAAACCCGGGCGGCGGACCATAACAGGTTGGCTCTGATTGGTTGAAAAAATTGGCTAAATGACAAGGCGGTGGCGGGGAACCGGTCGCTGCCTGCTGGACGAGGTACGTTCTTATTCCGGCCGGAATATCAAACTCTATTTTGAAGAGATTTAATGAGTTTATTTGGTATGCAATTGGTAGATGTATCAAATATCACAGTAAATAATTTAGATTTTGGTATAAACAAGAGAAAATTACCTTAAAAATAAAAGAAGGAGTTATACCAATTTTTTGTAAACCCAGATCTATTCCATTCAAGTACATTGAAAAAGTTGAAAGTGAACCTGAACGTTTAGAAAAATAAAATAAAATTTAAAAAGTGGAAAATACTCAGTGGGGTACACATTTAGTGCTTGTGATAAAGACAAATGGTACAGTAAGATTATGTGCAGATTATAAGACAACTATAAATAAGTATTTAGAAGATTATAACTACCCATTACGTTTACCATAAGAAATAAAAAATGATGAAAATGATAATGAGTACAGTTATATAGATTTTGTGGAAAGAATGTTACCTTAGATTTATTAAAGATTAAACTAGAGACAAGAAAAAATAGAATATTAGGTAAAGTTTATAGTTGGATTGAAGAAGGATTGCCAGAAAAAGTAGAATGAGAATATTAAGGTTATTTTATTAGAAAAAAATGAACTAAATATTGAAAAAGGTGTAATTATGTGGGTCTTTAGGGTAATTATTCCAGATAAGTTGAGAATATTTTTAGACACATAGCACACAGGGAAATATTGAAAAAATGAAAACAGTGACCAGATCTTATTTTTGGTGGCTTGGACTTGGTAAAGAAATAGAAAGCCATGTAAAAAGTTCTAAAGTCTGTATATAATGTCGATGTAGTCCAGTAGTAGATAGACAAACAAAGTGGGCAGACTTAAACTAAGTCCTTTAGAGTTTAGGCAGAGTTCATTTAGATTTTTTGTGTTTAAATAACAACAATTATTTAGTATGGATTGATGAGTTCAAGAATTGGGCTGTAATTATAGAAATTAGTAAAATGAACAGTGTCTATGGCTTTATTTAATTGATAAATTGAGGGAATTTTTGGACATTTTGGATTATCAAATAAAATTATTTCTGATAATGGTCCACAGTTTCGTTCTAGTGAATTCATAGAATTTTGTAAACAAAATGGAATTATATTTTATACATCAACACCTTTTTATCCTGCTACAAATGGTGCAGCTGAAAATGCAGTTAAACATTCTAAAAGAGCGCACATACAGAAAGCAACACAGGATAAAAAAAATAAAAATGTAACTGTGAGCACATTAACAAACAGATATTTATTCATGTACAGAAACTCACTACAATGGACCAATGAATGTCCAGCAAAACTAATGATTGGTGAAAATTAAAAACTCGTTTAGATTTTCTGTGACATTCAAAAATAAAGAAAAATACTTTGAGTTATAAAAAAAAAAAATTAGAAATGAAGTTATCTAGGAAGGAGATGTAGTTTATGCAAGAGATTTTTTTTTAATACAAGTAAAAAAAATTTGGAAAAAGCAGTGATAGAATAAGTGTTAGGCAACAGAAATTATATAGTTAGACTAGAGGATAAAGAATTAGTATGGAGAAGGCATATGAATCATATAATTAAGTTGGAAGAATTTAGTAAGTATGATGACTATACTCGTTTAAAAAACTATGAAAAAGAATTTGTAGAGGAAATTAAAGAACACCATTACAGAAGTGCTGAGAAAGCCGACCGTCCTTAATATTGTAAAAATACATTATTTAGAATTATTATAAATATGAATATAAACATAGACTATTATTATTTATTATGTTAATTCAATTTTAAACTTTTGTAAAAATATATAATATTATACTAATTTTTCTTTATTATAATATTCCTATAACATAGTTAAGTTTAAGTTTCATGTTATCATCAACTGATGTCTGATTGTGATATAATCAGTGGTGTATTGGAGAGTATACGTCATATACCCGGATTCCAATGTTTGGATTAATGAGTAAACATTTAAAAAAGTTAGTCTTTTATTTGTATACGCACACTTTCAATTTATCATCAGTCAATTAATCATATCACCAAACAAAAGTTAAAATTAATAATAATAAATTATAATACGCAAATTAATATAACAATATTTAATTATTTTTTTTATTTGACCGAAGACAATCGGAAACTGCCAAGCGTGTACACAATATTAATGTATAGCAGCGTTTCCCAAATTAACTGCCTTACTTTTTAAGTTTGATACCTAATAAAAATTTGTATTCTTTATAATATTTATGAATTGAATTAATAAAAAACCGAAAACTCGGCCTGCTGTACATTAGGGGGTAGGGTGGACCTCGGACTAGAGTAACTCAGTAAGAGTTTCAACTTTCTACAACTTATACTTTTTGAATAATAACAAATATCAAAAATCAGTTTTCGATAAATCTTTATTTTACGCAATTTTGTAAAAATTTAAAATTCAAACTTTCATAAAAGTTTTTTCTAAAATTACCCTCGAGTTTTTTTTACAGTTACTTAAAGAAAAACTTATAGAAAACCTTGTGTTGAAATTTTAAACCTTAGGTATAAATAAAACATTTTTTATGAATTTTTAACTTCAAAATTACTTGCATATTTTCGCGATTTTGACATATTTCGTAAACATTTGAACTCTAAGTGCTTATAAAAAAAAATTGTGCCTTACACTTTTTATTTTTTTTTATCTCTGATAAGAACAACTTGTAAGTAACATCGTATTAAATTTTCAAAATTTTTTAGGAGGCTAATTTTTTTTAATGGATATTTCAAAAAAAAAATACTAAGAAAAATCAAAAATTTAAATTGTCTATAAATAGCTCAAAAAAAGTCAAAATACTTTGAAAATTTAACCATGTGTAGACAACGCTAATATAAACATCTGGTGAAAAATTCAAGTATTCAGAGTTATTATTTTCTGAGTTACACTAAAATTAAATTATCGATTTGTCGAAAATTGGTTTTGCGTAAAAAATTTTAGATATATTGAAATATTTATGAAGAGGTATCAATACAAGGTAAGTATTAAATTAGAAGTAAATATGATAAAGTAAGTATATTTTATAAATAGTTTTGAGTTTCTTGCAAAATACAGAAATTATTACCTTTGTAATGAGTTGTATATACTGTTAAATGCAATATTGCTATAATTTCCAACTATCAACTTATATAATATAGGCAGTTGAATAAAATGTTTCATATACCATTATATATGTATAGGCACACACAGGTATTTTTTATCTTAAATAAAATATTTATTTATTTATAAATTACGATTTAATGAAAATAATGCATTATTGCATAGTGGTTATAATGTTTAATTATTGAAATATTGAATAACAACCGTCCTTCGATGCTTGTGGTGCCCCTGTGGATATTATTTAAACTAAAAAATTTCCGTCGAAAAATAAGCCACTTTTTTTCTTTCAATCAAGTTATCTGTTATCACCTTCTCTTCTCTACATCATGGGGCCGCCGATCAAGCCGCCGACCCACAGCTGCAGCAGCTTATCAGTGGTATCGCGACAAGTTCACTCCGCCTGCAGCCGCGCATATCACTCGACGGCGTTATCTACGCGGATTATTCGACCGGCAATGCACGCATGTTCGTACCGTCCGTACTTCGACGCCGAGTTTTTAGCGCGCTACATGGTTTAGCGCAGGGCGGAAACCGCGCCACGCAACGACTTATCAAGTCTCGATATTTTGCTGGCCTGACATGCACAAAGACATAACGCGATGGAATCGATGCTGTGAACCTAACGACGTTTTAGTCACATTCACGTCGATCTCGTCGAACCTCTGCCGCAGTCCAACAACTACAGGTACCTGCTCACCGTAGTCGACCGATTCACTCGCTGGCCGGAAGCCTGGCCACTCGAGAACATGTCAGCTCACGCAGTCGCACAGACGCTAACCACGAACTGGATCGCCCGATTCGGCGTTCCTGACAACATCACCACCGACCAAGGAAGGCAGTTCGAATCCGAATTGTTCCGCTCACTTTTTTCGACATTCGGTATTCAGCACTCGAGAACATCGCCTTATCACCCTCAGTCAAACGGTATGGTCGAACGTTTTCACCAAACGCTCAAGTCCGCGCTTACCGCACACGAATCGTCGCAATGGTCAACGAAGCTGCCGATCGTTCTACTCGCGCTTTGCAACATCGTGAAAGCTGGTTTTGAACTCACGCCTGCCGAGTTGGTTTATAGTGCAACACTTCGACTTCCTGGCGAAATGTTCCACGCCACACTTGCCGAATCACAGCCGCCTGAACTGGTAGCAACGCTCCGAGACTACATGGCTCAACTTCGTTTCACGCCCGGTACGAATCACGACACACTGCATTCGTGCCGAGCGACCTGAGGCAGGTCAGTCACGTTTTCGTTCGAGTCGACGCAGTCAAGCCGCCGCTCCAGCCACGATATGAGGGACCTTTTGCAGTTTTGGAACGCCGAGAAAAAACATTCCAGGTACAACGCCACCGATCAACGACCTGGGTTTCAATCGACCGACTCAAGCCAGCATTTATCGCCCGTGAAGGCCCGACCTTTGAAAATTCGTACGCTGCGCAATCGATCGAATACCCCCAAAATAAAAAACGAGTCCGTTTTTTTCTCACCGAGGGGGAGTAATGTGGTGATTACGACGTGTTATCACTTATCACCACTTACGCTAGCGCGTCTGTAATTATTATGTCGTTACCATTTTGTCACTCGTTCCTACCTTTGTATTATTGTTGTTATGTTGCAAACGATTTATACTTATATTATTTTTATGTGCCCCGCTACAATTTTGTCTCAAGCCTCGAGCACCGACTTTTTCGCCGTTACGGGCTCGAAGCCGCTCACGCTTTGCCATACTCACTTTTACGCTCTCGAATCGACTCGAGGAGCCCCATGTCTCGGCTCTTACGACCGACGATCCGAGCGAACCGACCACCTTAAGTTATACTTGTTTATTTGTCAATAAATTATTTAAACGATCACGGTGTTATAAGGACAACTTACTAGTCATATTATACCATAATTATACCTACATAATTTGTAATTTGTAATCTTTAATATGTTTGTGATACTTACCATAGATATGGTATTACCACAAGTCCACAAAGCTTGTTTTTGGCACGATAAAAAATATAAATGAAGTTTATAAAATTATCGTATTTTTGTGTACGATAATAATTTTACATCGTACATCGTACAGCTGGTTAAAATCATAAATACAAATACGATAATTATCGTATTATTGGCAACGCTGACCGTCCGACCACCGAACGTTTTGCTTATTTTCTTTCTTTTAAACCTTCTAATCCAGGAGAAAACGTAGTGTTCTGCCGGCGCCCGTGTCACGTTCCGACCACCGTCGCTTTTGGCAGCACCGGTAGACACCATAGGTATCCTATGCATTTATCATCTATAAAACAAACCAGTAATCACAATTTCATGAAATATAACGATGGGCAAGATTTTATTCTATCACAATTTTTTATTTGGCAGTAGGCACACTGCAAGACACTACTTAATCTCTTTTCTCACTCAACTATATCGTATCCTGACTTCTCTCTCTAAGCGATGTCCATAGTTTATAGCATGAACTAAGATAATATGGACTGGCAACGACGATAAAATATGCGGTCAGGTTTTAATACGGACTTTTAGTGGTGGGAGAAATTGTGAAGCTGAAGCGACATCTGTCGGACAAAAACAATAATAAAACAAAAATATGAAATAAGTTTCAAATAACATAACTCATTGATTAAATACTTATTTAATCAATGCATAACTGAACATGTAGAATATTGCTAATAACTTGTTAAAAACTGTTTTAAACTTGTCATGAAATTATAATAAAACACATTTTGAAAGACTCATATTTTGTTCTTATTAGTATACACTTACTTATACATGTTCGTAGATAATATTTACAGTATTGTTTAACCTAGTATAATGTTATGTTTATCGTAATATAAATAACAATATAAGTTGTTACGTTTCTTTCAATTTTTAGTCTTAACGATCATTTGCTGCCGTGTAATATTTAAAATTTCTTCATCCAATATAATTTTAGAAAATGATTTATTTAATGTAATGCATTTTTTATCTAGAAAAAGTTTTTGTAAATTTTCAAATTCAATACAACAAACGCACTCGCGATCAGTAATTAAATTTAAACACTTCTTACATAAACACCATTCGTTCACTGGTTTAATAGATCTGTTTTCGATACACAAATTTGTATTTAAAATTTCGTTAGCAAAATGCATCGGATTGAAATTACTGTCAATATCGTTGATTGTTGGCTCAAAACTATATGGTTGTAATGCCATGTCGCAAATTAGTTTGATAACACTAAAAAAACTTTAATATTACCTAGAGTAAAAAAATATACAGGTTGTATGC